CTTATACAATCTTCTTTATCAGCTATTTTTCTCCATGATTGGAACACATCTTTCCAAAAAAGGTTTTTACAATTGCCTTGAATAATCGATAAGTATTCTGAACCACAATTAAATAAAATGTCCTTATTAACATATTTTTTAAATAACACTTGCCATTTACCCCCTGATGTAAGCAACCTACGTATCCAAGTAAGTTTCAAGGCTTCAATAAAAGACTTGATGTGTATCATTTTAAGACCCCCTTCCTGATAGCTTTTGATGATTATTTCCCGTTTTGTTTTATCCACTTTACTCTTCCATAAGAAATTAAAAAATTCTGAATTTAATTTTTTAATAAAATTTTCATCTGGATTTGGTAAGGAGATAAATAGATGATTAAATTGAGATATTAATAAAGATTTAATTATTTGTATTCTTCCTATTGGTGTTAATATTCGTCTACTCCAATTCTTAATTATTGACTTAAGTTTCACTAGTCTTTTATCATAGTTTAATTTAGGGATTTGATGTAAATCTACATGAAATTCTATACCTAATACCATAAATTTTTGACTTCCCCATTGCAGGTTCCATTCAGGATAATATATCTCATCACTGTACTTTTTACTGCCTATCCATATAACTTGTGTTTTACTTTTAGTCTGATTCTTATGACACTGTTAAATATGTTCCATTCGAGGGGTTACTATTTTTATATCCATGAACAATGAAATGATGGGGAGTGCGAGTTGTCGTAACCTGTTGACTTATTAACAACACATACAACCCATGTAAATTATAATTAATCACTGTCAGAGATGACCCTGATTCCTTAATACTTTCTGCAAATCGCTTGGCCTAACGTTTGACTTAGAGACACTGACACTTGCTTCGTTTGACTTGAAAATCCCCAGATCAGACAGTTAGAATTGCTTGACTGAATAGCTTCCATAAAAATGACCGTTAACTGTGGAATGAAACGGTTTTCTTCCTCCCAAGAATATTTTCTCCGTGATTGGTAACATTATTTATCTGGACAGTTGATTCGGTTGATGTATCCGAAAGACTGTTCTCGAGGCCTGCCAATAGTTTAGCTTACTGGACGTTTTAATATTTCACTGGTAACAATGTATTAAACGTCCATAAAAACTCGCTGACAAAACAACATCCTAATCATAGAGATTGAATAGATGTTCGTTAACACTATGGTCAAAAAATATTTTTTTTTATTTGAAAATCTAAGTATTGCATAACAATTATAATCTGAGTTAAGTCCTGGTAGATTAAAATCAATCAAAATGGTTATCTGTCTGACCTTTTTCCTGTTTCGCTTATTCCATGCTATGTTCTCGACAGTTTAAGAAGGAATTCGATTAAAGGTAATGGATGGTGCTTTTTAACATAATATTTGCAGCTTCAATTGACAATCAGTTCTGAGGTGACCCGTCAGTATCTGACTGAGTGGATTTATATATCATTTGGAGATATTGACGTAGCTCATTAGTAGCTGACTGATTAGATAATAGCAGTAAGTAAAGGAATGAATAGAAGGTAAAAGTCTCTAAGTCATCTAACTCCTTAAAGCGTTCGTTTATGATTACATAATGAATTCGAAGTATTCATTTATCTTCAGTGACGTTTGGTATCCCGCCGAATTATGTTTCATTATCATTATCTTGTTATTTTAAAATTTCAGCTTCAACCCTGAGTACAATTATAACTAAAATACAAAGAAGAAAGCACATATTCAAAATGCAGGAAGCTCAATATATCTAACGTTTTGCAGCATCCTATAGAACTTTCGTGTTATTAGGACTTAGCTTAGGTACTGAAGATCAAAGTAATGAAATGCCATCTTTTTAGTGTTATAAAATATCCAGATATCCAGTGCCAAGTGGAAGGTGCCTGTCAAATTTGTCACGACACAAACCTTTCATTGCTGGTTTTTACCTTAGTTAGTTGTTCATGTAAATAATAATGTATAATAATATACAACATTTGAATATACTCTAAAGCGCATTAATATTAGTATTTCTACATTGACAGATCAGCATGATACATTAAGTAAGAGAAAATGTATCTCAATATGCATATAAACGAATATATAAAGTGATGTGTACATGACGTCTGTGCAAACACGTCTATTTGTTAACTGTTACATTGTTTAATTGTTACATTGTTTAACTGTTACATTGTTTCTATATATGATATTTCTGGTTATCTAATGTTTCAGGTACGACAGTTATAAGCAGAGTACAGAGGAATCACCGCTGTCCAACTATAGTAAAAAAAAATGGACCGGCTAAGTATTTATCAATGGTTTCTATTGAAGTTGAAATCATGTAATTGTGTTTTGATGCTGTTGTTTTGTTTTTTCTTTAACCTTTATTCACTAGCACATGTAAGTAAATTAAAAAACAACAATTTGCTATTCCGTAGAGTCCGGATTTGTGACCTTTCAACATTTTGTAAAGGTTCATACAACAGCTGATTGTGCTTTTGTATCCCTTTGTTTCTGTTATCTGCAAAGGTAACAGTAGCCGAAAGTTTATATGATTGTCAATGTCCTTCCAATAGCATCTCCGTTTACAGTTAGGGAATCTTAAATTGTATGAGGCATATTTAATCGTTCTGGAATCCAAAATAGGCTTGCAAAGACATGACTAAATTAGATCTTCAGAGACATTAAATGATTTAATTCCTAGTTCTTGTTGTTCCCTATTATACCATGAGAAAGCAGTTCCCCTAGAAATAAACATATTAGAAAATATACGTTTGATTTATCAGATTATTCTAAACAAGAACTGTCTGAAGTCTCACAGCGGATGATCACTGAACAAGGACGACGAAAACATCTCTGCAAGATTTTGTGCGTGACTCTCCTTCCCATTATGATTCTGACTGGCTTCTTGGGTTTTAATGTCAACGATGTTATCGTCAAAAGGGAGACACTCAAACAGGTATGACTCCTAATAGGCTTGCTTATACAACTTTACCAAGCCATACTTTTTTTAAAAAGACATCATGAAGTACCAAAATGATGTTTACACACTTGAGTGTCCAGGTGCATCTTTAGACGGCGATTCGAAAGAATTACGCCCCATTAAAATACGTTTTCTTAATGTTTTTAACAATTTATGATAAAATGAAGCGAAGGATAAAACAAACAATAAGAGTGAAAAGTCAAATCATCAGATAACAAAAAAGCCAAATCATAAGATAACAAAAAATCATAATGTGAAACACAGGTAAACATTAAAGATGACATGTATGACTGGGCTTTTAAATTAAACAAATTTGCAAATCTTCAAAAGAATCTGCTTCAATATGTTGCCGGTTGAATATTTTCTTAAGGATCAAGAAAGAGGCCAGCAGTCAATAAGCGTGTAGCTCTCATATATTACATGCGATAGGATATTGTCATATTCTGCAAAGCTCTCCTGCTCAGGTGACAGATTAATCTCGTCAAAATACCAGCAAATCTAACACAAACTGGACCCTAACTATTGGAAAACGCTCTATCGATTATATAAAATGTGTTAGAATCAATAAAAATAAAATGATTTTAACACGTTTTTAGTCATTTATATGTTTAACCCTGTCTTTGAAAGCCGTTTTCCCTGTTGTGTCAGCATGTTATCAATAAAAGTGAGTAATCCCGCCTTATTCCGCCTTCTAGTAAACACAAAAACAAAATGTACACTTCCAATTCTTGCAATATTGGGATATTTTTCGTTCCATATTATGCTTTACACTTCCCATATTTGCAATATTGGGATATTTTTAAATTCCTTTTCCCACTTTGCTCTTTGATTGTATACAATGATATACAATTCTATTTACTGAATCGATCCTTAAATGAAACAAGACACCAAAATACTGATTCATCAAATAATTTCTTTTGTAGAATCAAGTTGATTTGTCCTTGACCATAAACCTCGGTCAATGTTTACAAGCGTTACAGCGAGAACGCGATATGACAGTTTTCTACTTGAACGCCCTTGGACCAAACAGTAAATCATTCCTGATGTCAGAATATATTTTAACTGATTTGGCAATCACAGACATCCCTCAGTGGACAACTGTAGGTACACGGGACCAAAACAACGAGATTTTCAAATCTCAAAAAACGTTGCTGGAACATCTGTCCCGACATCGCCAGTATCTCTCAAAGACAAGTAGTGACGTGTTCGGTGAAATTGATTTCTACACCGATTTAATTGACAAGATGTTGGTTTGGTGGATGGACAGGCTCAGCAGTGGTCAATATGTGGAGGTTTGGCCAACCGTAATGGGGTACGCAAAAGTTACAATAGCTGCTCTCAAAATTGGAATAGAAAGGGCACTGGGAACATACTTCTTCGCAGTGGGAGGCTTTGGTAGCAAAGACATATTTGAAATGTATAATAAACAAGTGAATACATTCAATGCGTTTTATAACACGGCTAAGATGTACATGGTGGACGTTCAGGAGATGGACACCTTCCAGAACGTCACTGCTAGAATACAATCATTTCGGTTTACCATCATGAATACAGATGAGAATAATCACACTGCTGATATAACACTAGCACGGAATTGGTTTGATAATGTCACGGTTTCTATCAGTTCAATACGGGAGCTCCAACAGATTCTGGAAAACAACATTAATGTGGATATAGACGATAAACTTGGTGACATCACCACGAATATCGTCATCAGTATCGTATTGATGATCTTTGTTCTGTGCGCGTGCCCGGTTGTTGTTGTGTCGACGGAGGCTCTCTCGAGTAGCATACACAGATACGCCACCACACTTGTGGACAAAACCAACGAGTTATCGAAAGAGAAGAGAAAAACAGAGCACCTTTTGTACCAGATAATTCCTAGATCAGTGGCGGAAAAATTGAAAAAGAAGGGAAATGTCGAAGCCGAATATTTCAAATCAGTTACAATCGGTTTTTGTGACATCCACAATTTTGCCAGCCTGGTTGCTGATAGTTCACCAAGTGAATTAGTAGAATTGCTGAACTCCCTCTTCACTTCCATTGATGATCGCTTGGACAATCATGACGTTTATAAAGTGGAGACCATAAACGACTGTTATATGTTGGCGTCTGGTAGGTATCTATCTCATACTTACTACATATAGTTACGTATGTATGTTGGCGTCTAGTAGGTATCTACCTCGCACTTACTACATGTAGTTACGTATGTATGTTGACGTCTGGTAGGTATCTACCTCGTACCTACTACATTTAGTTACATATGTATGTTGACGTCTAGTAGGTATCTACCTCGTACTTACTACGTGTAGCTACACATGTATGTTGGCGTCTAGTAGGTATCTACCTCGTACTTACTCCATGTAGCTACACATGTATGTTGGCGTCTAGTACGTATCTACCTCGTACTTACTACATATAGTTACGTATGTATGGTTGCGTCTAGTAGGTATATGTATCTACCTCGTCCTTACTACATGAGCTACACATGAATGTTGGCGTCTAGTAGGAATCTACCTCGTACTTACTACATATATGACGTCTAGTAGGTATCTACCTCGTCCTTACTACGTGTAGCTACACATGTATGGTGGCGTCTAGTAGGTATCTGCCTCGTACTTACTACATATAGTTACACATGTATGTTGTCGTCTGGTAGGTATCTACCTCGTACCTACTACATTTAGTTACATATGTATGCTGACGTCTAGTAGGTATCTACCTCGTCCTTACTACGTGTAGCTACACATGTATGTTGGCGTCTAGTACGTATCTACCTCGTACTTACTACATATAGTTACATATGTATGATGGCGTCTGGTAGGTATCTACCTCGTCCTTACTACATGAGCTACACATGAATGTTGGCGTCTAGTAGGAATCTACCTCGTACTTACTACATATAGTTACACATGTATGTTGGCGTCTCGTAGGTATCTACCTCGTACTTACTACATATAGTTACGTATGTATGGTGGCGTCTAGTAGGTATATGTATCTACCTCGTACTTACTACATGTAGTTACATATGTATGTTGGCGTCTAGTAGGTATATACCTCGTACTTACTACATTTAGTTACGTATGTATGTTGACGTCTAGTAGGTATCTCCCTCGTACTTACTACATGTAGTTACATATGTATGTTGGCGTCTAGTAGGTATCTACCTCGTACTTACTACATTTAGTTACATATGTATGTTGACGTCTAGTAGGTATCTACCTCGTACTTACTACATGTAGCTACACATGTATGTTGGCGTCTAGTAGGTATCTACCTCGTAATTACTACATTTAGTTACATATGTATGTTGACGTCTAGTAGGTATCTACCTCGTACTTACTACATATAGTTATATATACTCATGTATGTTGGCGTCTAGTAGGTATCTCCCTCGTACTTACTACATGAGCTACACATGAATGTTGGCGTCTAGTAGGTATCTACCTCGTAATTACTACATTTAGTTACATATGTATGTTGACGTCTAGTAGGTATCTCCCTCGTACTTACTACATGAGCTACACATGAATGTTGGCGTCTAGTAGGTATCTACCTCGGACTTACTACATTTAGTTACATATGTATGTTGACGTCTAGTAGGGATCTACCTCGTACTTACTACATGTAGCTACACATGTATGTTGGCGTCTAGTAGGTATATACCTCGTACTTACTACATTTAGTTACATATATATGTTGACGTCTAGTAGGTATCTACCTCGTACTTACTACATGAGCTACACATGAATGTTGGCGTCTAGTAGGTATCTACCTCGTACTTACTACATATAGTTATATATGTATGTTTGCGTCTAGTGGGTATCTACCTCGTACTTACTACATGTCGTTACACATGTATGTTGGCGTCTGGTAGGAATCTACCTAGTACCTACTACATGTAGCTACACATGAATGTTAGCGTCTAGTAGGTATCTACCTCGCACCTATTACATGTAGTTACACATGTATGTTGGCGTCTGGTAGGAATCTACCTAGTACCTACTACATGTAGCTACACATGAATGTTGGCGTCTGGTAGGAATCTACCTCATACTTACTACATTTAGTTACATATGTATGTTGACGTCTAGTAGGGATCTACCTCGTACTTACTACATGTAGCTACACATGTATGTTGGCGTCTAGTAGGTATATACCTCGTACTTACTACATTTAGTTACGTATGTATGTTGGCGTCTAGTAGGTATCTACCTCGGACTTACTACATTTAGTTACATATGTATGTTGACGTCTAGTAGGGATCTACCTCGTACTTACTACATGTAGCTACACATGTATGTTGGCGTCTAGTAGGTATCTACCTCGCACCCATTACATGTAGTTACACATGTATGTTGGCGTCTGGTAGGTATCTACCTCGCACCTACTACATGAGCTACATATGTATGGTGGCGTCTGGTAGGTATCTACCTCGTACTTACTACATATAGTTATATATGTATGTTTGCGTCTAGTGGGTATCTACCTCGTACTTACTACATGTAGTTACATATGCATGGTGTCGTGTAAGGGTGTAATCTTGTTAATAGGTATATGTTAATTACATATATTTGTCGACTAAAAGGTTGACTTGCTTACTTGTTGTTTGGGGGCTTGAGGATAATTAATTAAATCTGTCACCAGAAATAGTTGACTTCTTCACGGAGTTTAGCTAAATTATTATATTAAATCTTATCACGGTACAGCAAATCGTGCTGTTTTATTTGATCAAGTCAATGTTATGTATGTTTCAGTGTCGATATATATGTTTACGTAGTACTTATTGACTCCATGGATATAATTCAACATGTAAACGTGAAATAAATCTACTTATTTACGAAGTTGACAAACCTTGTTAAATTAAGAAAACTAGAGTTAATACTTTCGACTTTGATTCAGTCTATATATCTTACACATTTGCTTGTTGACTTACAGGTAGGCTACTTAGCGTGACTTCTGTCGGCATGATAATAAATAGCATTTCAAGGTTTGGTACGTGAATAAAATTCTGAAAGAAGGTTTTTATTGTAATTGAATTGAAATTTAATTGAATACCAACAAGCTGACCGTACTAAATATTTCCAAAATTATTTCCAAGGGGTGCCAAAACGGAACAAGAAAAGACACGTGGTCGAAATAGCCAGTTTATCTTTGGACCTGCTGAGGATGATGGAAAATGGTGCATTATTCGTGTCTGGAAGAACCATCCGACTTCGATTTGGTATCAACACAGGTAACTTCAATGAGAATATTAATACACGACTATGCAGTCTACATATATTTATTTGTTTCACATGTATATGCATTTGTTGTCTTTTGATTCCGGTTGTGTTTTCGCGTCGACTTCGCCTTCGGACATTGCCTGTAAAATTATATTGGCGCCTTGATGATCTTTGCGATTCATTGGTAACGTTTATAATAAAGAAGTTAGAAGCGTTTTCCAATATAATTTTCTAATTAGTTGGCGTGATCTATCGCCAGGATAGCAGATTACAGTAGCGTACGGTGTACATGAGTGATATTTTTATGCAATGAATAACCGCTGTATCAAAATAAAATAAAAAAAAATCAGCATTAAAATTGGCATATACATGATGAAGTGGACTCTGTTGACTTCATAATTTTTCAAAACAATTATTCGATTTTGGTTTGAGACTACAATTTTGGGCATTTACAAATCTGTGTCTACACAACAAAAGCTAGCTTTTCATGTAGTCTATTTTTGAACTCAGCACATGTGTAAATATTCTGAAACAACCCACTGGAATGACCTATGCTAAAACGTGAGTATTTCTGTTACCGAGTAGGCGAAATTCAATTTCAGACAGGTTTTAAGAAAAAAATCTACTTGCATGGGTCAAATTTTGAATTAAAAATCATGTTTTTTTGTGCATATCTTGGTGGTTTTTGATGTGGTAACCATGGTTTTCACAAGTGCTAAATCTGGGGAAAACAGCTTTTGAAAATAAATTCACGCTTCTAAACAAAATGAAATCAAAATGTAGTTTATAAATATGTATATATATGCAGGTATGTTGTGCAGATTGAATTCACTATCCATGTTTATGTGAGACATGCCCTTTATTTTTAGGGTCAAGCCATTTCTACTGTACACTGCTACCCAGAAACGGATTGACGCAACGGCGCGTTATGACGTTACGCTGTATCTGTGTATATCTGTATATACACAATTTATATATTATATATAACTTTTTTCTTCTTTTTTTCTCTCCCAGAAATGATACCAAATTTATATCCACCTGATTGTTTATTTTTAATATGTTGAATATTATTAAAATTGAATATTAAAATTTAAAAAAATGACAGGCGACCAATTCTCTTTGAGAGACCTCTAAATAAGCATTGCTTTTCTGTTCATTACAGGGCCCTGTATGGCGGGTGTGTTAGGATCGGCCATGCCGAGGTACTGTCTTTTTGGAGACACAGTTAATACCGCGTCTAGAATGATGTCTTGTGGTGAACGTAAGCGTACATTCTTCATTATTTGGTATTAGCTATTGATTGATAAGTGATTAGGTATACATACAAGTAAAGTAAAGGTTCAAGTTGTGGAGTGTCTGGTGTATGAAATACCTTGAAGCGGACGTTCGAAAATAGCAGTTTTCGAGCGCATTCGCCTCTTCGGGTTCTTCAGAGTGAATGACAAGTCTTTATCCCGGCCTCATAAGATTAACAAGTCATCTATTAGTGCACATTCTATTGTTTTGATGCCATCAACTGTCCGTATGCATTTGTAACCATGTTTATATTCGGTGCGTCATAATAAAGATCAGTCGATCCCCCAGAAGATCATGATGAGCCGAACATTTCAGTCACTACAATTTTCGAACCTCTGATTCATTTTATATGACTTATAAGACCAGTTATAATGATTATAACATGGTAGACGTAAAACGCATGTTCTCGTTATTAAAACATATATTCATTAGTTACACAAAATCTTTTTGAAATTAATATGAGGACTGTCACCATAATCGAGATTTTTTCTAAAGCTGTTTTTAGCAAATATCGATTAAATGTAACATATATCTCGTTCATCATCTTATAAAACGTATTATTTACCTGTATGTAATTATGTTTCAGCAAACAAAATCCACATAAGTCCTGATACACACACTGCTCTAAACAAATGCGGAGGATTCGTAATGGAAACACGAGGAGAAGGGATTCACATCAAGGTCGGTGAAACAATACACACCGGAAATATAATCACAGCTGCTGTCATATGGAATGCAAGACAAAATCACCCTTCTCAAACACCTGCTTCGCTTCCCGCTTGTTTTGTAGATTTATTTTATTATTTCGTTCGTTTAGGTGTCGCGTCTGTGTTTTAGATCGTGTACATTCTTCCTGATGTTTTGTGGTACATCCGTCACTGGAATAACCTCTGTTTATGAAGTGTGTCTGTTTGAGGACGTGTTTCCTCTGATCTTGAATACAGTTCGTTTGTTTTGGCGTTCCTTTTGGTTTTGAAACAGGTTTGTTTGGTTTCGTGTAAACTCTGCTCATGAAGTCTTTTTTAAGACGCGTTGCAGCCAAACCTTGTAACATTATAAGGGGTTTTATTAACACTTTGATCTTTTCGCAGCATTTTACATGTTTCAGAACACTTTTGACATTGGTGTTTCTTAATTTTTACCTTTAATATAAGTCTTCTATTGACATTAAAAAAATGGAAGAGCAATTTGTTTTTTTGTTTTATTTTCATTTTTCATTTATTTTTTATTTAATTCCAATTTTGTTTTTACTGTAAGCTTTTTGCACTGACAAACAAAATTTTAAAAAGAAATTATAATGCTATATTCATCAGAAATCTTTTGAAATGTTAAATACATGTATGTCAACAACTATCATGTTATAAATATATTATCAATATTTCAGGGAAAAGGTGACATGCAGACATATTGGTTATTGGGAAAAAGCGGCTCCACCATTTCAAACAAGTCAATGATAAAAGAGAATGTAGTACAGGAGTTTGATGCCCTTGACGACCACAAACGGATGTCTTCACAAAGGGAGAGTCTACCAAACCACACTTCAAACACAGGCCTTTCAGATCACAGAGATACATCATCGATGGCTCTCCCATCTAGAAAAGTGTCCGAAACACAACCTTCAACAAAAGGAAAGAGAGCTAGCAGTTGTGCAGGATTGCTGACTCCGAAATGTAAACGTTCTGTCAGTAAGGTCTCACCACAAGACCAGTCAGTGGGAAATCCAGCTGAATCGAATGTAGAATGACATACCACGTGCGTGAGGTCGTCACATGACATTTGACTTGTTCATTATGGAGAATTCTGATATAAATTGCTTTCTATATTAGAAATACCGTTACATTAATTTTCAAATCCCATCAAAGACTGTTTTAAAAAAGGAAAATTAATTCCAAACGTACCATATGTAGACGAAGCTCTAAGCGTACCTTACAAAGACGTAAATCATGCGTACTTTATATACACGTAGCTCAAAGCTTACCTTGTATAAACGTAATTGCAGCATACCTTGTATAGACGTTACTGAAGTTAACCTTCCATAGACGTAACCTAGGCGTACCTTGTACAAAGGATAATGAAGCTTACCTTGTATAGCCGTTACTGAAGCGTACCTTGTATAAAATTTAATGAAGCGTACCCTGCATAGACATTACTGAAGCGTACCTTGTATAGCCGTTACTGAAGCGTATCTTGTATAAAATTTAATGAAGCGTACCCTGTATAGACATTACTGAAGCGTACCTTGTATTGACGTTATTAAAGCGTACCTTGTATAGACGAAGCTGAAGCTTACCTTGTATAGACGTAGCTGAAGCGTCCCTTGTATAGACGTTACTGAAGCGTGCCTTTTATAGACGTAGCTGAAGCGTACCTTGTATAGACATTGTATAGACGTAACTGAAGCTTACCTTGTATAGACGTAACTGAAGCTTACTTTATATAGACATTACGGAAGCTTACCTTTTATAGACGTAAGTGAAGCGTACCTTGTATAGACGAAGCTGAAGCTTACCTTGTATAGACGTAGCTGAAGCGTCCCTTGTATAGACGTTACTGAAGCGAACCTTTTATAGACGTAACTGAAGCGTACTTTATATAGAAATTACTGAAGCGTACCCTGTATAGACGTTATTGAAGCGAACCTTTTATGGACGTTACTAAAGCGTACCTTGTATAGACGTTATTGAAGCGAACCTTGTATAGACGTTACTGAAGCGTACCTTTTATAGACGTAGCTGAAGCGTACTTTATATAGACATTACTGAAGCTTACCTTTTATAGACGTAACTGAAGCGTACCTTGTATATATGTTACTGAAGCGTACCTTTAATAGACGTAACTGAAGCGTACCTTGTATAGACGTAACTGAAGCGAACCTTTTATAGACGTAACTGAAGCGTACTTTATATAGACATTACTGAAGCTTACCCTGTATAGACGTTACTGAAGCGTACCTTGTATAGACGAAGCTGAAGCGAACCTTGTATAGACGTAACTGAAGCTTACCTTGTATAGACGTAACTGAAGCGTACCCTGTATAGACGTTACTGAAGCGAACCTTTTATAGACGTAACTGAAGCGTACCTTGTATATATATTACTGAAGCATACCTTGTATAGACGTAACTGAAGCGTACATTGTATAGACGTAACTGAAGCGAACCTTTTATAGACGTAACTGAAGCGTACTTTATATAGACATTACTGAAGCTTACTCTGTTTAGACGTAACTGAAGCGTACCCTGTATAGACGAAGCTGAAGCGTACCTTGTATAGACGAAGCTGAAGCGTACCTTGTATAGACGTTACTGAAGCGAACCTTTTATTTACGTAACTGAAGCGTACCTTCTATAGACGAAGCTGAAGCTTACCTTGTATTGACGTAACTGAAGCGTACCTTGTATAGACGTAACTGAAGCGTACCTTGTATAGACGTAACTGAAGCGTACCTTGTATAGACGTAACTGAAGCGTACCTTGTATTGACGTTACTGAAGCTTACCTTGTATTGACGTAACTGAAGCGAACCTTGTATATATGTTACTGAAGCTTACCTTGTATTGACGTAACTGAAGCGTACCTTGTATAGACGTAACTGAAGCGTACCTTGTACATGTATAGACGTTACTGAAGCGAACCTTTTATAGACGTAACTGAAGCGTACCTTCTATAGACGAAGCTGAAGCTTACCTTGTATTGACGTAACTGAAGCGTACCTTGTATATATGTTACTGAAGAGTACCTCGTATTGACGTTACTGAAGCGTACCTTTTATAGACGTAACTGAAGCGTACCTTCTATAGACGAAGCTGAAGCTCACCTTGTATTGACGTAACTGAAGCGTACCTTGTATATATGTTACTGAAGAGTACGTCGTATTGACGTTACTGAAGCGTACCTTTTATAGACGTAACTGAAGCGTACCTTGTATTGACGTTACTGAAGCTTACCTTGTATTGACGTAACTGAAGCGTACCTAGTATAGACGTAACTGAAGCTTACCTTGTATATATGTTACTGAAGCGTACCTTGTATAGACGTTACTGAAGCTTACCTTGTATATATGTTACTGACGCTTACCTTGTATAGACGTAACTGAGGCGTACCTTTTATAGACGTAACTGAAGCGAACCTTTTATAGACGTAACTGAAGCGAACCTTGTATAGACGTAACTGAAGCGTACCTTGTATAGACGTAACTGAAGCGTACCTTGTATAGACGTAACTGAAGCGTACCTTGTATAGACGTAACTGAAGCGTACCTTGTATAGACGTAACTGAAGCGTACCTTGTATAGACGTAACTGAAGCGTACCTTGTATAGACGTAACTGAAGCGTACCTTGTATAGACGTAACTGAAGCGTACCTTGTATAGACGTAACTGAAGCGTACCTTGTATAGACGTAACTGAAGCGTACCTTGTATAGACGTAACTGAAGCGTACCTTGTATAGACGTAACTGAAGCGTACCTTGTATAGACGTAACTGAAGCGTACCTTGTATAGACGTAACTGAAGCGTACCTTGTATATATGTTAATGAAGCGTACCTTGTATAGACGAAGCTGAAGCTTACCTTGTATAGACATTACTGAAGCGTACCCTGTATAGACGTAACTGAAGCGAACCTTTTGTAGACGTTACTGAAGCGTACCTTGTAGTGACGAAACTGAAGCGTACCTTGTATAGACGTAACTGAAGCGAACCTTGTATATATGTTACTGAAGCACACCCTGTATAGACGTTACTGAAGCGAACCTTTCATAGACGTAACTGAAGCGTACCTTATATATATGTTCCTGAAGCGTACCTTGTATAGACGAAGCTGAAGCTTACCTTGTATAGACGTAACTGAGGCGTACCTTGTATAGACGAAGCTGAATCGTACCTTGTATAGACGTAACTGAAGCGAACCTTTTATAGACGTAACTGAAGCGTACTTTATAAAGACATTACTGAAGCTTACCCTGTATAGACGTTACTGAAGCGTACCTTGTATAGACGAAGCTGAAGCGTACCTTGTATAGACGAAGCTGAATCGTACCTTGTATAGACGTAACTGAAGCGTACCCTGTATAGACGTTACTGAAGCGAACCTTTTAAAGACGTAACTGAAGCGTACCTTGTAGTGACGAAACTGAAGCGTACCTTGTATAGACGTAACTGAAGCGTACCCTGTATAGACGTAACTGAAGCGTACCTAGTATAGACGTTACTGAAGCGAACCTTTTATAGACGTTACTTAAGCGAACCTTGTATAGACGTAGCTGAAGCGAACCTTTTATAGACGTAACTGAAGCTTACCTTGTATAGACGTAACTGAAGCGTACCCTGTATAGACGTAGCTGAAGCGTACCCTGTATAGACGTTACTGAAGCGAACCTTTTATAGACGTAACTGAAGCGTACCTTGTATTGACGTAAATGAAGCGTACCTTGTATAGACGTAACTGAAGCGTACCTTGTATAGACGAAGCTGAAGCGTACCCTGTATAGACGTTACTGAAGCGAACCTTGTATTGACGTAACTGAAGGGTACCTTGTATAGACGTAACGCAACATTTCCTTGAATAATTGTTACTTAAGCTTACTCTGTGTTGGCGTAGCTCATGTGTATCTTGCGCAAATCAGAATCTTAATTACATGTGTGTATCCTTATTTTGTATAAACGTTCATCTAGTATATGAAAATCAGATGCACCTCTATTTTTCCTTAAATATACGCTCCTTTGCGTATGATGTATGCACATCTAGCTGTGCAACTGGTAGTTGGGCTCGCACGAGCATGCAGTAGCGAAACAAGATGATTACTCGTCCTGCAGTAGATTTATAAAGTGGGGCCCTGATGAATAGTATCATGTCAAAGTATCATATTAGCCAGATCGTTATGATGCCTTCATATATTAATAAAATTTCAAGCTTTCGTGTTTTTAAGTGGAATATCAGTAAATTATCATGTATGTGTGTTTCCATATATTATGTATTTTTCAAGTATCAGAACTATATAGAGTATATATAACTAGGTTATTGTTTGTTTGTTATTTTTCACAATGACCTGGAATAAGTGTCATTGGGTAATAATAAATGAATACATAACTTGCACTCTTTACGTGTGTTTTATGTCCTGTAACAACCATGACAGTTGTAAATATTAATTGACAGTAGCACTGTATAATCACGAAACTCCAATAAGAAGCAGTCACAATTCCCTTAGTATAAATGTTATCTGTCAATCAATTACAATTGCATTCTCGATACGAGGGAGTGACAATACTTGGGTTTGACCTAGAGTTACATGGCGGATATCGTCGTAGCAAACACTTACCCTTCCGAGGCACCTGGTCTTATCCTCCATCAACTTTACAAAGAATCTCCATGTAAATCTGTCCTTTGATCACAGTTTGCCCCATTTTATTATTGAGTTCTAATTGAGTTATAATTATGGTACTGTTGACATATCGGTGCTGTCTTTCTTTTCATCTGCCAATCAACTACATACCGCTTTTGCGATGTATTGATTGCATATGGTAGTCTTCTTGAATTGTTAACTGATCCACGTCCTATGCTGTATGAAATTGCGTGGAAAAGCTACCCTGCATGTATTTTAATAAAAGTTACATTAACACCGACACTTACAAATATGACATAGTAGATTTTTGAAAGCAATTCATCAGCTACATAAACGGAACCTGTCTCAACAATGTTACCTTACAATCGTGTTAAGATACAGTGTCATTGTCGCTACGAGGACAA